ACCGATAATCTTGATCAAATTCAGTCATTCTCCTCCACATCGGGGCTAACCCTAAACCCTAGTAAATGTGTTGAGTGTTTATATAGTTTTGCTCGCTCTCCATATCCGGCACACCAAACAGTGATTAATAAAAATCCTTTATCCAGGGTGAACTCTGTCGAATATCTTGGTGTAACCATAAATAGCAATCTTCATTGGTCTACCCACATCCACAACTGCACTGGTAAACTGCAACGCCTTTCATTTTAAATACGAAAGCTCAGGCAGTTTCACGGATCCCAGTCAGTTATTTCTACTTTTGTTTATCAATGTGTTTCCCCATCTTACTCTACTATTCCCCTGTTATATTTCCTGGTTTATTCAAACAGGACTTCAAAATCTTAAGATGCGGTCTAACCATTATTGGTCGGGTCTCTTCTATTTCTGTGGATGAACTAGCTGTAAAGCTTTCAGAGTATCACGTAACTTCCTGTGTCAAATTTTCCGAGAGGATGCTCACAGATTCGGACTACCCATTGCATGCAGAACTGACATTTGTCGATCCCATCATTCAAAACGCTCCCAATTCCGCCAAAGTTCATCTCGAATTAATGCATACCGCAAATCACCCATACCGTATCTTGCTGGTCTACTCACAAACAAAGAGCTAACAATAAGTGAACTTTGTCTTAACCTTGGATTATGAATGTGTTCATGCCTGTGAAAACTTTTCTCCCCGTTAATTATGTACATTGTAACGGTTAGCGTGCATGATTTCTTAACTGAAATGTGAGCTCCAGTGCTTGCAATACAATACAATAAAACAACGACGTCTTGCACGTTTAGTGGTGCAGTATGATGCACAGTCTGGCTGGAACTCCAAAGAAGAGCCCGGGAAAAGGTATACCCTGATGAACCAAAACCATCTTGGAGGGAGGTCGAGCTAAGGCACCCAAGGAAAACGGATCCGACAGAGCAAAACAGGGTAGAATTCCTGACTCCTTTGGCGGAACGAACAAAAAGGCTTGGATCCAGGATAAACAGGCGCAAACGAACGGGGCATAGGCTCGAGAGTGAACCCTGAGTAGCCACTTTCTGTAAAATGCTGAAAACTAGAGGAGGAGTGTAGTGACAGTGTCAACCCTTTCCGAACATGTTACTTTTTCATCTTCCGGATCTTGTTGTTTTACCGAACCAAGATTACCTCGTTGGTCACGGTACGTTGACTTTCACTTTGTACACGCTTACTTACCTGTACGCCTCTCTCTCTACTCTCCGGCTCATTACAATACAACCGTCGTTGAGGTTTCGTCATATCAGTCGTTCTGCTTTGGTTCGTTACCTCTACCGTTGTAAGACGTACGAATTTGTGGAAATCATTAGCCTAGAGTCCAAATTGGTGAGCCCGACCTGATAATTTTACTTTTTTTAGTTATCGCGCACTTCAGTTTCGTTATTACTGTTACGTTATTCCACTTGCTTAGTCCTTTCGATTATCGCTGGTGGAACGTAAGATTTATCTGCACGACTATTATTGAGTTGAGACATAGACCTTGTGCAATTTTTTTATCTACTCATCACTCACGTACATGATGCGAAACGTTCCTGCTTGGTGTGTCAACTTTGTAAAATCTTACGTCACACTAAGACTCCGTTAGGCACCTTCGATACTCCAACCACCCGTTTCCAGTGCATACACATCGATTTAGTGGGCCCACTACCGCAGTCAGGAGGTTTCCTATATCTACTGACTTGAGTTGACCGTTTCTCCCGTTGGTCAGAAGCAGCCTCACTTCCTAATTGCTCATCCGAAACGACAGGTAAGGGATTTTTGGAGCGTTGGGTAGCAACGTACGGCTGCCCGGTAACTGTCACCACCGACAGAGGTTCGCACTTTAAAGGGTCATTTAAAGCTCTCCTCACTATGTTAGGGTGCAAACACACTCGCACAACCGCATATCATTCAGCGGCCAACGGCCTGGTTGAGCGTTTTCATAGACAACTCAGTGCAGCCCTCAAGGCTCCTCCCGGTTCAGAATGGCATGAGGGTCTTCCGCTTGTCCTGTTGGGCATTCGGAATACGATAAAAGCCGACTTGCACACTACACCGGCCGCACTAGCCCTCGGCTGCACGTTACATCTTCCGGGTGAATTCGTTTCACCCAAGCCCTAACTTAGCTTTAACTACTCAGATTTTGCTCGACTGGAGCATCACATGCGTTAGGTACACGCTGCTACCACACGGCAGCAAACAGTACCCGCCTACGTGCTGAAGGATCTTACGCGTTGCACGCACGTTTTTCTTTGCGTTTATAGTATCCACACACCTCTGCAGGCACCATACACCAGTCCGCATAAGATTATCATGCGTAAAGACAAGTACGCCATAATAGAAGTTAGCGGCAAAAAGTAGTTCTGTAGTTTAGACCAACTAAAACAGGCGTTTTTAGAAATTGACACCACTTCTATTATACATACGGTAGCTGCAGGTCCTCCGTCAGTCGACCCCACGCTAACCAGACCTACGGAGAACCACCTCTCAACACTACCATCGATACTGGTGAAGTACGACCGCCGCGGTCTTGAAGTCTGTAAATCGGTTCGTTTTCAGTGTTGATATAGCATCCTCCCAAGTAGTTTTCATGCACCTCAATTGATCCCTCATGCTTAACTTGTAAATTGTATCTTATAACCCTTTTTTGCATAAAAACAAAATACCCAACAAACATGTTTTTCTCTCATTCATTCTTGGTATTATTGTTCGCTGTTACCGATCAGCTCCAACAAGAGCTGTTTCAAATTTCTTTTTTCTGTTCCAGAAACACAACCCCGGGAGAAGAGAACACAAACCGACCACATGAGAGAACATAATCAACAGGGAAACTTCAATTGCTCCGCCCTTACTCTCAACAAACCTACCGATCCAGCATCTTGAGGGTATCAAAGACCTTTTTATGACAGCTCCGGTCAGATTTTTACTGGCTCGTACGCATCTGTGACGGACCCATTTTCAACACATCCGTTTTCTTCGTTTAAAAATCAGGGCAAGTAGCGAAACAGACATCTTTTTGTTCCAATATCTGCGCATCAACCGGACTAATAAAGATTCACTTCACCTACAACATTTTCAAAAGACAATAAAACTGCACCCACACGCACATTTATCGAAGGTACTTCTTAGCCATCTAGGGAGGGAACTCTGTAGTGACAGTGTCAACCATTTCGGGTTATGTACCTTTTCCGTCTTCCGGACCTTGTTGTTTTACCGGACCAAGATTACCTCGTTGGTCACGGTACGTTGACTTTCACGTTGTGCACGCTTACTTACCTGTACGCCTCTTTCTAACTTACACACGCAATTCCAGAATGCTATGTTCCTTCAGAAGGGCCAATTTCATTCTTATACGAGAATTCCTGATCAACAGGCTGGGCTCCGAAGCGTTGATACTGACCCGAACAACCTAAATGAGTTACTGGAGAGTAAAATTCAGGAAGCGGACTATTTTTTATTCCTAGTGTTCAAGCTGTATCTGACCACCTGCGTGCAGGAAGGGCCAAAGTTGCACGGATGGGGGAATTTAATTTGGCCGCCTTTCTGGGGGGCGTGTAGCGGAAAAGATACTACATATACGAATAACAATGAAATAAACGGTACCAGGAACGGACTCACAGAAGGATTGTCCGCTGGTCGATTGATCCTGTTCTTCAGATGTGTGGTTCCGGTTGATGAGGTGCAGTGGAGCTGAAATGGATGGCTGCGACAGTTAACGGACCGCTCGACGATAACTGACGAGGATTGGGTAATTCCTCAGCAACACTCGGAGAACACGTGCGTATTTACGAACAGAATTTTGCATTGCGTGTTAGGTGCTGCGCATATTAAAACAAGCTGTACAATCAGGTCAGATAAAATGGATAGAAAAGTAAAACCCTACAGGCGATCCTCCGGAGCACCCATTCGAAAAGTTGACATCTGATTGATGGGACCATACGCACTGACGGCTTTTCTCTGAGATTGATCTGTACGTGCGCAGGACATACACTTAAGTTCATCGAGCTGCATGCTACTGGCTTGAAGCAGACCACTGTCTCCTTTAGGTGGAAAGCTTCGGGCAATATGGGCTGCGAGTGGGTTACGGTAGTTTCCAGACGTATGACCGGAATGAAATCGCTTCGAAGAAGCTTGGAGTCTTTTGAGTCTTTCGGAGTGTTCTGCTTCGCAAAAGGGAGCCTAAGGTGCAGGGGTTTATCAACCGATACCCCCATAAGCCCTTTGCAGGATCGTTTTAGGAATGGAGTAAAGGTGATGAGCTTACTAGCTGTAGAAGGGAAGCCAATAGCTACAACGAGACCGAGAGCACTTTGATTTTTTGGGAATAAGCCAACTTTAAGCTTCTCTCACGGAGTGCTATTTACGTATGGATCCCCTCGTCTTTGTTCCAGTATACAATGTTCTTTGAGCACATTCAAACCAATCAAAACACCAAGCATCGGACAGCTCGTTTTGGGAAAATCGACTGTTTATAAGTGGCTTCATCCAGAAAGCGTTTTGGCACCTGGTGTTCAGACAAGACTCCCGAGTACAGACGCGACGGTGTATGACTTTCGGACGCCTATTTCTTCGGCACCATTGAAGGAATTTACTTTAAGGGTTAAACTGGAATACTTTTGCTGACATTCCCTAACGGCGCATTCAGTAAAATGTCTTTTGGTTTACCCTTTAGACTCAAATGATTTGCTAGGTCCGTTTCTTATCAGGGAAGTGTCGGTTCCTGTGTCCAACAGGGCGTTGGTTATGGAAGAGCCTCAACAAACAAACTCCATAGCCATTAGAAAACAGCTGACACAAAGCACTATAAACTCTTGGCACCTATTTCGCTTTGTGCATCAACTCGTGGTGTTTACGGAGACAGACCTTTTTCGCATCTGGTTTTTGACAAACACTTTGCTACCAGATACCGGGTCGGAGACACCTAAAATACAACCTGTGTTTAGAAACCATCAACTAAGGGTCTTGTGCGGACAACGTTTAAAACTCTTGACAATCATCAAGAAAGTGGTTTAGTGCACCAATGACACATGCACTATTGTTGGACACAAGTGCAAATGCCTTCTGTTGCATTACAACTCTGTCGGTAATGTCAGGCATTTAGTACAGTGTCAATCTATTCTTATTTACCAGTTTGACTGTTATCTTTTGGGTTTATTTTATGGAGTCTGTTGTACCCCACTATTAAGTTTCTCGTCAATTACAATAGTTATAAAATTGTGCTATTTTGGTCATCCATAAATCGGTTTTACGTTTACTATTAGTACCGTAACTGGCGACTGACAGGAGCTAACGGTCTAACCTAACCGATCCTTGACACCTAGACTACGTTACACCACGAGTGTTTATAAAAAGGTATTGCTGCTACAGAAGCAATCATAATCTTGCAAGAAAACCTCCGTGAAATCACTTTTTTCTTGCTCTAATATCATGCCTCGACACACTGTAGATCGCCCAAAGATTCGAGTCAGCAACCGAGCACCCAGATCTAGTCTGTCTGCAAATTCCCTCAAAAATTGCTCCGTCCCCTTGGCTGATGTGCTCATTGAGGGTGTCAAAGTAACCTCAAGGATTGAAAGCACCATCGCAAACCTCAATAGTAGGCTGGAATCACTAGAACTAGTCAAGTCGACCCCAGCTCCACTGCATTCCTCATGGACTCCATGTCCCAAACTATGAGGGCTGTTTCTTGATGATATAGCCTCTGGAATTTGTAAGCGCATTTCTAACTAAAACCGCAGTTGTATTCAATGTACAAGACGAAATTCCCGTAGTTAAGATCAAAGAAATAATCTTGAATACTTCAAATATTGACCGGTACCGCTGCAGCTGTATCCGTCTCCGGAAAAGATCACAAAGTTACTCCTGCCCTCTTCTTTTCCTGCCACTGCTGCCTCTTACTTGAGTTGGAAACTTTCCAGCTCTAACCTGACGTCACTGTGAACGTCAAAATGTTCGTACTCTCGGCAACAATGGTCAGAATGACCAAGGAAAGCTACACAGGCAGCATCAGACTGAGACTCGTATTCTGAAGAATCGTCAGTGAATGGATCCATAGCACAAATAGATAAGGAGAAATAAAGCAAAATGGTGGATCACTTAACGAGAGCAAAATCACCTAAACCAAATAAATGCCACAGTTTTATCATAGTCAAAACTGCAAGGAAGAAATCGGATAAGCAAAACTAACAAGCACAGAAATGTTTGCTTGACAAAAATTTAATTATTGTTAGCAACTTTCAAATACTCGGCAGACGAATCCTGAGCCAATTCGAATACCATTGCGTCCTTTTCAGCTCGTAAGTCCAATACACGTATTAAATTACAGAAACACCTTGATCTAGGACGAACGGGGTTGAACTTTGCAATATCGGTTATTCGTCAACTGGAATAAACAAATTGGCACGCGGTATCGACGATCAATCCCGAACTGGAACGAACTCGATAATAAACAACGATCCCAAGCAACCGAAACCGAGAACAAAACCGACGACAACAAAAACACGAATACAGATGATAGACCAAGATGTGTATATGGTATCTAAGACACATAATAAATTGTGCAAAGCAGGAAAAGCATACTTAAATGTATGCTTACCCAAACAGAACGCAGATGAAAATCTTTGTGTCAGAGTTTTTTTGATGAACTTGCGGGTGTAGCCGTTGCGGGCAAATACTTTTGATTCAATTAAAATTATCTACCAGGCCCGATGAAAACACGCCAGAGAATTTCCCAACTATTTTCAGTGCCTACTTCACATTTCCCCCAAATAACCTAGAGCCTTCAATGGTTTCCTATTTCTAGTTCCAGTTCTGTTGCATTGAGTGGCAGATTCCATGTGTCGGACCACTTGACCACCTTTGCGATATATTCTTCTAAGTTTCATCTTTCAGTCGATCCAACCACCTTTACATCACCAACGTAGATGAAGCATGATGAGCTGGTAACTTTTGCTCAATCATCTATGAACAACAGACATATAAGCGGGCATAACGCCGACCTTTGTGGCACGCAACTAGTGATGTTTGTTCTCCTTATCTCCCTACTCCTATTTGTCAAGAATTGTGCCATCCATTTATATACTGTTCCGTGAATACGAAAACCTTAACTTATGTAGAAGAAA